GTCAGATATCAAACTCTATCCTGCCTCCTGCCCTTTACTACCTTTGTGTTGAAAAATTGATTTATTGAAGGTTATCAAACTGGTTACATGGTTGCTCATAATGGACACAGGGTCAAATCTGAATCTAAATCAATTTAAATCAACACGCTAGTCTGTGTTTGTGTGAATGTGAGCGTCTGTGCCGGCCCGCCTGCATTCTTGTGCAGTGAGTGTGTTAAGAGGTGATGGAAAGGACCATCTACTGTTGTTTTTTAGTTTTTTTTTTGTTTCATTAGCTCCTTCCCTCCTCCCTGCCTCCCTCTATTTGTGAAATCGCTCTTTCAGGCAGATTGGAAGCGCCTTGATTTGCGGTGAACAAAACGAGCTAGCCGGGGTGGAGGGGGATTAGTGCCACTCCAGGACAATTATAATCTGGTTGCTGCCACGGCAACCGTATCTCCTACCTCCCTCCCAACACACACACATTCTCTTAATTGGACGCAAGTCTCAGTGTGGAAACAACGGTGCCGAGTTCTCCGTGGCCTCGATGAGGTCGTGTTCAATCGCGAAGCCACGTGAGGTAACGGCAGTCAGACTGGAGGAAAATGTAGACATTTAACAAGCAGCAGCGGGTCATAGGAACCTCTATAAAGAACTTAAATGAGGATGTTTGAGATTTTAATGAAGGCTTGTAATCTATCAAAGCCACTGAGTAGTCACTGTGTGAGCAATGAAACCAAAAAGCATGTTTATCTCTTGATCCTACAAAAGCACTGCTGGGCAAGAAATGGACTGTGTATCATTTAATGTCCTTGGGATATATATGCTCAGTGGTCACTTTATTAGGTACACCGTTACAATCTAATGCAATCAAATACAAAGGCTTTGCGTGTTAAGATATAGGAGGACCTATTGGTGGAAGGGTTGAATATAAATTGAATATAATATTCACAGGTATGTTTTCATTAGTATATAATAACCTGAAAATAAGAATTGTTGTTTTTGTTACCTTAGTATGAGCTGTTTTTATATACAGAAGGATAGGGTCACCGTAGTTTTTTCCTACAAGCTTGGAAGGCTAGTGGCTAGATGTTTCAAATCCTACACCTAATTTAGTTCTTTGAGAATTTTACGTTATTTATTATATTATACTTTCAATGTAATGCAGTCCGATACAAGACCACCACCAGAGTGAGTGTATAACTTTGTATATAGACCTCTTTCACAAGCAGTTTGGCGTAGGGTAAACACAGGTGTTACCAATGATACTAATTAAGGCTCCATTCCATTCAGATCAAACCGAGTCAAGGTGCTGCTATTGTTCATGTTGGCTCACTGGAAAACTGGCTCTGCTGCACTGAACGGTCTCTCCAACTGTTTTCAGATATTTCGCTAACAAACTGACATGTCCCGCTCTCATGTATTTTGCATTTTCCCCTGATTTATTCAAGTGTTCCCTTTATTTTGGAAATTGCCTGCACTTAGAGTTAGAAAAGCAGATATTTCAACTAAAGACATCACATCAATATGTTTACTGAAGCTTCAATGCATTTGCTGTCCTGAATTCCAAAGACCAAAAAAAAATCAGCGATGAGAAAAGGCAAATTGCTGCCTGAGTTTCTCAGAAACACGATACGTGAGGAATTTGGAAGTGTGGTCACGAATCATGAATGACCCACGAAGAATGAACAGCAGGGGATGTGCTGATTCACTCAGAGACAATTGGGCCGGACATGAAGGCTGCTGAAAGATGACACTTCTGCTGCTGCAGGGACCAAACCTCTAAGACTCTATGATGCTGCTTAGTCCGCCTGGTTTCTCACCTTTATCCACATCACACAGAAGGATGAAACATATCGGTGCCTATGAACAGTATTGACTCATTATTTTTATGCTCAAACCTCAAAATAAACCTAAAATAAAATAAAAACGTTACTGCACTTCCAAGCATATTCAGTGCCTGAGAAGTTTCTCCTGATTTGTTCTTCTAAATAAACTTAGATATACTAAGGATTGTTTGGCTTCAGAGATGTAAACCGGCAGAAAGGACCATTGCTTTTTGCACTGGATGATTGCTTCACCATCACTGGCTCATACATCAGATGTTTGGCTACCAGCTGACTAGTAACATCCAATCATACTCATGTAGGTTTACACAGCAGCTTTTATAACTTCTCACTACATTGTGATTCTGCTGGTGTGCTCATGTCAACACCACCCCGACCGCCTTCTACAGTATGTGCTAAGATTGTTGGCTTTACTAAGACGTACTGTTCATGTATCTCTTTATTATCTCCACACTTAGTTTTGTGCTGTGCCAGCGTTGGAGAGAGGTCTAGCTGAGGGGAATAGGGGTATAGGGGAAAAATAATGTTGGCTTGTTTGTATATTTTTCAACCGATCACAATCTTCTTTGGTGGCGCTAAGCCCAGGATGCAGCGACAGTAGTGTCTGAAGATAGTGGAAGGGAATCCCTGTCAATGGCAGGCGTATACCCACAGCCTACTTCCTCTGAGCCGGACTAATTAAAGGGGGATCTGTTCTCCCGGGAGAATCCTTGTTACTGCTCAGATTTTTCGAGAGCTACCTTAAACAGCAGAGCCTCTCCCACCAAATCTTAACTGTATAACTATTTGCCATTAATGGTCAGTTTCTTGACGTAAGTGTCTCTGCCTGCAATGCCCAACAGGGATGATCCTCGCTAACATATAAGGCCACTTTGATGTCTTTTTCTTTTTATTAATTCCAGAATGACCCCTCAAGGAGTAGATGGACATAGTTGCTCATGCTAGATTACAAAAGAGACAGAACAAGTCAATGGACACAGACACTTATTGCCCAGTGGTTTAAATCAAGACATAAAGAATAAAATGTGATCTTTGGGTTAAGGGATAATGGCCTATTAGGTATCCATTATCAGGAATGAGTGGACAGTTGCCTCCGCGGAGTCCATTAATTTGTGATTAATTAATCCTGTTTATACCATGGTCATTTGCCAAAAAAATAAATAAAAATAAGATCATTCATTTATATTTTCTTGCGTTTTACAATCAAAAGTTTTCTACCAGCTATAACTCCATTTCTCTGGTAACACCTGAGGGTTTGACTAATACCTGGAAGAATCATTATCACACCGTAAGATTCTCATGCAATGGAAACGCTGTTCACTACTCCAGTAAATAGGACAAACCTTAGATTCGACCTGGAATTACTTAGTAGGCGTCCTACATCAGGGCTTAATGGACACCCTGCAGCCAATCATAAAACCTTTTAGCAAAGACCTACAATATAATTAGAAAAAGTCTGGAATAAAGCTTTCTGCAGATGCAAACTGAGGCAAAATAAAGTCAGTTCAAACTACTTATGTTTGTGTTTAAGTTGACACTGCTCTTCACATGCCGGATTGTCAGGTGCATAAACTTATACAACCCCACAATAATTTATGTTCTGTTTTACTGTTTGACTGTTTTGTCTTTATTGGTTTTATTGCATGCAATTTTTTCCCTATTACCTTTGCTGCAGCAACAACTTAATTTCCCCACAGGGATCAATAAACTTTCATGTTATCTTCCTTTCAAATATACACAGGCATCAATGAGAAAATGAGAATTCATTTCTCCGCCTGCAAAATAAACCCAACACTTAAACCTGCAGGCCTGTTCCTCACAGAGTCCACCAGCAAACAATTCGTCTCTGCGCTCTTGAGAAACTAACTTTTCTTTTTTTTGTATTTTTAACCTGTCAGCTGTGATGTAGTATGCTAATATTGTTATTTTACAGTGTATGATAAAACTATAATAAACACCGTATGGGGTGGTGATGGATGTTTTGTTGCAGGTTGTAACTCGCAGACTTGTTTTTGCTATTCCTCTATCTGCCAGCCTGTGATGGAGGGATTTACTCTGCTTCTCTCCCTCTCTCATTCTTACAACAGAGGTTCGATTGGCCATAATTGGCTCCTGTTTGCAGCTAGGTATTGATCACCTCGATAGACCCTCCATTGCGCCCTTCCTCCTCCACCCTCACAATTGCTCCCTCCCTCATTCTCCTTACTTTCCTCCTCCCCCGTTTTCTAACGGCCTCTCTCTCTCTCAGACCTCGCTGCTGCCACTTTGATAAGCATGGTGAATGGCGTGCCGTCATCGGTGCAGACTAACTCTTGAATCAATAGGCGAGAGCAGACGCTCAGCAGTCTATTTTCCGCAGAGATGGAGGAGAATAGCAATGCTACGAGATGAAAACCAAGAGGGAGAGAGGCTTAGATTGAAAGACAGAGGTGGCAGGGATGGAGTAGGTGCCAAACATCAGAAATGTTGTTACGATATTTTTCTTGAGAGAGTTGGCTTTGTTGTTTTGTTACTTTGTTTTTCATTGATTAACACAAGCACATTTATAAAGCATGTATGCCATACAGTGAGTGGCAAAATGTGAGAAAAGAATGAAAGGAAGGAAACTCAAAACCTTTGACTTGAAAATGACTCAGCTACTCAGTAAGTGTCAAGATTTTCTACAAATTACAAAAAGGTGAGCAATACACGATATCAATAGAGATATGTGTGAAAAATTTGGTTTGTAAAATGCACCTTTAAAACATTTTTTTCTGTGCTAGGCTTTGTATTTTCATATGTGGACACCCTTGTCATTTTGTGTACTTCTGCAGCTATTTTGGTATAGGATAGTGTGCTTCCAACAGAGGCCCTTTCCTGTTTCAACATGACAATGCCCTCTGTGCACAAAGCCTGAATCATAAGGAAATGGCTTTCCCAGTTGGGTGTGGAAGAGCTTGACTGGCCTGCACAGACCTCTGATCTAAACCCCATCCTGCACCTTTGGCATGACCTGGAATGCAAACTGCAAGCCAAAACTCATCAACCAACACCAGTGTTGGACCTAACTAATGTTTCTGTGGTTGAATGGGAGCAGATCCCTGCAGCCAGACTCCAAAAGAGTATTAATAGTGGGTTGTCCACATACGCTTGGCCCTTTAGTGTAGGATGAAGAGTGTAAACTGATGTACTCACATCGGTGACTCCAGCCTCCAGGATGCTGAGCTTGGCTTCCTTCTCCAGAGCTGCTTTCTGCTGAACTACAGTAAGGAAAGAACAGAGAGGAAAAAAACATTATTAATGAACTAAAAAATGTCAAATGCAGATTTCTGTTAAGGTTTTACAGAAAATCATAATGGAATATTTTTCACGCCTGTGTGTGTACAAACAAACAGACCCACCTCAAACCTCAGCACTGGTTTCTTAAACTAAATCAGCTAAACAATCCTCTACACAGGCTAAAATAGACAGACAATAATAACAGAATAAAACAGCAATCTACATTACAGAACTCTTACTCTCCGTACAGTTTAAAGTACTTAAACCTTAAAATTTGATTTATCTCTGGTGTCCACAATAATGTGCAGTATGCATCCATGTGTGTACTACTATTAATCAATGGTACGAAATTCCGCCAAACCAGCTTTTAATCTCTGCACTCGACTGATTCACAGAAAATCAATGCGTCCTCCTCCCTCCTGAGCTTTAAACACACAGTGTATATACAGCGGAACCAGAACCTCATTGATTGAACACCTCGGAAATGCAATTTGGTTTGACCAGTGAAACTTACAGAAACATCCTGAAGCTAAAGTTTCTACTGACACTGGATTAGGACACATAACACATATATTTTGACATTGTTCATATTAGAGCACATTATCATTAATGTGTCTTTTTAATGTCCTTCCTTTCATGTGTTTTATGTACTATTCAATTCACAGAACAGAAACAAAAAATAAGAATTAGATTCTTCACTGCATTACTTTCTTTACATTCTGTTCAGGTAATGGGCCCCAAGAGGTAGCAAGACAGAACAGTTTGAAGTTATGGAAGTCTGAAGAACCCTGGTGTGCCTTGATCCTTCTGACTGTGGGTATTAAGATCCACCAGAGCATACGGTGTGGGTGTCACGTTTTGGCTTCTGTTTGAGTCCCGTGTGAAAGCAGAAACTTGTGATCTTTTCCTAACCCTGACCAAGTAATTTTGGTGCCTAAACCTAACCAAACTGCAACCTCAGTAAGCTTTATTTTGAGAGTATAAAGTATAAATCCACATTTATTATGGCTAACATGACTAACGGAATGAGCACATGTTGAAAATGTGACATTTCCACATTTAGGCGATGCAAAACATGACACTGCCCTGGTGGACACGGGTGTGTAATACATGCTTGGATTTTGGATTTATGACTTTATGTGTCGAGAAGACAAACCATAATGGTTTGATTTACACTTTTTGGACTCGCTACACATTGAAATTTGAATTGCAATGGTTGTAAAAGTAGTTGGGGTTATCATGTGAGCACTTCTCAGACAAAAACAATCAATATTATCAGTCACATTTCCTATTTTAGACATGACACTCTGATCTCCAGCTTGTGAAGTGGTGAGCAGGTAGGAGGTCATAATCATATTGTACAGCTGGTGAATGTTTCTTCTGTTTCTTTCCCCTCAGATACTTCTAAACTCACCTCACTACAGCCATCCTTTAAGGTCAGTGCCAAGCCTACACTGAAATGTGAATTTTAGCATACAGTTGGTGAAGCTGGTGATGTCACTGGGGTTATCATGACAGGAACGTTTGCTGAATTAGTCCAACAACACCTCCACAGGGCTTGACAATAAATTCTGCCGTTCCAGAACCAAATGAGCTATTACTGTAGCATATCTTCACTATGAAATATGAATTTTTCCCCTGACCTGCCGCCAGGCAAATATTACATCAAATTTCCACACAAATAGAATTAAACCCTGCACAGAGCGCTTTTTTTCATCGCCTTAAAGTGAAACAAATGGAGGGCTACAATTGAAATACACGGCAGAGCACATATTAAAGCCAGAACAAAATGTTATGGGGAAAAAAAAGAAAGGATACATAATTACATTCACTTTACTTTGCATCTGAATACACCGGTGTGGAGACAGAGAGCGAGTCTCCTTTGTTGACACACCAGGCAGATGAAGGATATGCAAATAGCAAGCCTTGACTCTGCCACAGTCCTCCAAATTCACCCACAGCTTTTATAATCAGTCTTTCAATCTGTCAGAGCATAATTCGCCAGTGTTGTCAAGTCTTGTGTAACCACAAACCTTGAGCTTAAACATTAAATGAGTAGCTCTTTACAATGTACAAAACCACATCATTCACCTATAGATTAATATTAAATACTGTTAGCACTTACATCTCTAATAGCTAAAAATAACAACATCAGGTGCACATATTAAGTGTGCGGTACATTGAAGTGCATTATATGATGGTAGGTAAGTAGGAAGATAGACTAGGTTACATATACTGTAATAAAACCACCACCAAGTGTTTCTAGTACAGAATTGGCTGACTGGTCGGCATCCAGGCCCCAGACAGAGACATATGAACACCTTGTCTTCAATAGCCAAGTGGGCCGACATGTCTTAATAATGCTGTCAGCAGGTAGCAACTCCAGGCTCGGCTCTCTTCAGCGAGGAATAGAAGCTGAAGTGGCTGAATTGGTTTGTCAGCGTTGCCTCTTCTTCTGTTCACTTAAGAGCATCTGAATAGACTTCTGGTTCAGTGTTACACGTGTCTGACGGAGACGTCGGTTGCTTCGTGTTCCTGTTGTCCCTTCAGATCATCAGGTGTTTTTGCATTACTAAATGGGGAGTGGTCAGAAGTGCTGGAATGGTTCACCCACAGAGAGCGGCGCAGCAGTTATATGTCATTAACCGCTGATTTGCTTTTGGAAGCTGCATTAATTAATTGACTTTTACTTGCATTAACACGACTCCTCAGACTCTTTAAAGGCTGCAGCCACAGGATTCTCCTTAGCTTCACTTTCTTTTGGTAAAACCAATTATAAGCCTTACACTGCCCAAAGTTACAAGAAAATGACTCTACACTGGCACACAGATTACTTGTGTGATGGCTGCTCTACCATTATTTGTGTCCAGAGCTGTAGCCAGGGTTTTAGAAAAAGTGAGGTCGGAGCTTGTGTTGCACTTGGTCAAATGAAATGTGAAAAAAGAGAGCTAGAGAGAGAAGTTCAAACCCTGGCTGTTTTCTCACCTTTCCACGAGACTAGCCAAACTTTTGTCAGATCACATTGCACCAGTGTATGTACCCCACCAGGCAAAGAACCACAATCTCCAAAGATTTTTGAAAGAGCTGAAGACCGTTTTAAGCTGATGTCATGCCGCTGGCCAGATATCACTTCTCAATCTGCAAAGTTTCATTTTGGGAGAGATAGGGAGGAAGAGTGGTTTGTTAAGAAGTTTGTTTTGCAGCCTCTGGAGCCATACATGCTGGCCTCTGTAAGTAAATAATACATTATTGCAGCTTTAACTTTCTTTCATTTTACAGATTAAATCAGTTTTATTTGTTTCAATCTGATGCTGTCAATCCTTTTGTTAGAGCCATTTCTTTCAAACTGCGACTATTGTCACTTACTTTAAATGAAAGTTGTAGTGGTGCCAATGCATTGATTTCCCCAAAACGTTTTAAAGAATTAATTAAGTTCAAATGAAACACAGGCAGAGATAGTAAACAGCAGGCAACTTTGGGACCAGACTCAGTGAAACAAGTAAAGACTCCGTCGCCTAAAGTGCCTTTGGTAATTGGTGAGGCAAAACCTATTTGACTTGCATCTGCAGGAAAGCCTAATTGACAGGCTCACACTCACAGAAACACCTACAGACACACACACATTTAATTCCTGATACAGAATCAGAGTTAAAAGCCCGATATACCCAAACACAAACAAACATGAAAGCGCTCGACATGATTTTCGTTGGGAGGGAATCAGAAAACTCCGCAGCAACACAGGCACCGGTCTGGTTCCCCGGAGTGACTTGCCACGCGGCCAGCGAGCGTGACTACATCACAGGCGCCGCACTCCCTCTAATTAGCGAACAAGTCTTTGGACCTCCCAACACCGCGGCACTGCGGCCTCTCCGAAATGTAGCCAAGAGCTATCTGGACCATCCATTCCTCCCCTCTCCTGCAGACTACAAATGAGTCCAAGTCGGATGAGAGCACTGCTCGTGAACAGGCGAGCCGAGGTGCCTCATTTGTACCCCAGCGAGCTTTCTCTCCAAAACCCAAATTGGATCCATTTTTAAGAAGCTGCAATGGGCTGGGTGTCGTGATCAGACCGACTGGCGACTTTTCTTAGCCTGGCTGGCAGCGCAGTGTGAAAATAAGCCGTAATGTGACAAAATAAGAATGAAGCAGCAATGGACTACAGACTCAGAGCGAGTTGAAGGAAAATGATCTATACTCAGATTATTCTCTTTTTTCCATTTGAGGAATATTCCATCTTCCATTGTACCTCTCAGATACATTTGGACTGTGGGGAAAAAACTGGGCCTGAAGGAAGTAACTAGAACCAAATCTCATTTCTACAAAAGGGGCCCCTTTATTTTCCCTCCAAAACACACGGAGACGCTTCATTTGTCACCCGGGCCGCCCCTGTCCTGAATTTTGCTTTATGTTAACTCAATGTATCTGAGGCGCCTAGAGGGAAACACAGCGAGTGCCAGGGATTCAGAAATGCTTCATTTTTCACTGTTGACAAAAGGGAAAGGCCCAGGCTGGCTCCACGAGTCCTGGACCAACAGAATAGAAGCTTTCGCAGCACCAAGGGGTCGTTATTTCAACCACTAACCACCCCCCACCCTCACAACCTCCATACCTCTCACTCACCCTCCTGGGTACATTTCAGGAGCCGTATAATGAGAAGAAAACAACAGCCATCCTTCAAAAGCAAAGGCAGGGAGAGCAGCACACTGCAGTGACACAGTACAGGGATGTAATCACATTAGTTGATCATGAGAGCGACGATCCCTGGGCAAATTAAAATATATCGCTGGCTTTTTCTTCAGTGCCCCTGCAAGATCTGCTCCAATGCTCTCAACCATCACTGAATGTCTTACAGATGATAAAAAGGACAACAGGAAAAAAAAATGCTGCAGCAAACAACAACAGCCAGAAGAAAAAGAAGTGTTGTAGTTAATATAAAAAACAAAAGCTGATCTTTAAACCAGTTATGGGAAGTGAAGTTCAG